GACGAAACAGTTTGTCACAGCCCCTCGTTTGTTGTCCTTTTCTCCCTCTCTGCCTACGGTTTACCGGGCAGTTCTATTTGACGATATATATATATGATGATATACTGCCTACGGTTTACCGGGCAGTTCTATTTGACGATATATATTATATATATATATATATATAATGCGGGCAGCTTACGCTCAACTTCATCAACGTGGCGAGCCTTGTACGTGAGAGGCATGGTGAAGGGGGAGTTAAAAGAAGAATGAGAAAAATGAATGGTTTCAGTGTGCCCTTCATGTTTGTCTTGTTTTTTTAAATTTTTAATTTTTGCTGTTTGTTCATAGTTATGTGACAATATGTGCGTTGGTGAAACTCCGACAAAACAGTTTGTCACACAGCCCCACGTTTGTTGTCCTCTTCTCCCTCTCTGCCTAGGTTTACCGGGCAGCTCTGTTTGACGATGCATATATATGTATATATGTAGTCAAACAGAGCTGCCTGGCAAACGGTAGGCAGAGAGGGAGAAGAGGACGACAAACAAGCGGCTGTGACGAACTGTTTCGTTGGAGTTTCACCGACTCATATATGTACGAAACAGTTTGTCACAGCCCCTCGTTTGCTGTCCTCTTCTCCCTCTCTGCCCACGGTTTACGGGGCAGCTCTGTTTGATGATATTGTTCCCCATGCTGCAAGCGTGCCGTTAGAGCCAACAGGTGTGTTGCCCTCCGTGCTGAACCATACAAATGTGTGGAATCTTGCAGCTGGAACGAACTAAATGACGAAAGGAAAAAAAAAAAGAAAGAGAAAGGAAAGAGGGAAAAGAAAAAGAGGAACAACAACATGATGAAAAGTTGCACTGTACTTCGCTATCAATGTATGGCTCCTTAGATATGATTGCAGCCCACGTACTTTTTTTTATTTATTTATTTTTGGGCCATTTCTTGATTTATGCATGTGATCCTTGTGCAGGGGCCATGCCAATTAATCCTCTCTTTAATAGTCTTTATCACTCCAATTTTAACAGATGTCCCGAAGGACAACCCATATACTGTTTCAGACTTCAGTTGTGAGAGGCCTCGGCTCTCTTTGTTTTGTTGGGGGCTTTCCTGGCTGCTGTCGGTGGCATGAACCATCGGCCTGTGGAGTCTTGCGTCTGGAGGTGGGGTAGGTGACAGTTCGGCCCTTCTTTTTCTTTTTGTTGAAAAAGCAGGTGGCTCCGAACTTTATTGTGCTCATTTGATTCCATCGGGATCCAAACTCGTGTCCTGTTGCATAGCAATCGCGTGCGTTTACCGTGCAGGCATATGGGCTGGTGTGGGGCGACTTGACTTTTTTTTTTTTTTTAGGGGCGACTTGACTTTGATTCTGGGTCAAGGCAGAAATTTAGCGGCCCAAAACGAGCATCATCGCTGGGGAGGTAGCTCTGCAGACTGTCAAGGGTCCAAGCCCCTGCCTCTGATGAGTTGCTGGAAGTCCAAGAAAACTCTACTGATATGTCGCAACCACTGTTGTTGTTGTTGTTGTTGTTTTTTTTTTTTTTTTTTTTTTTTTTTTTAATCAGAACAGATACTACACTTGATCTTAGCAACCACTTCTTTTTTTCCTTCAAAAAAAAAAAAAAACTGGTACTGGTTTTCGTTGTCTGTTGGACTCTTTTTCTCCCCGTCTGTCTGTTGATGCACAGATCCAGGGATCCAGAGACCCCTTTTTTCGCAGGCAGTGGGTATCTTGAGTGGTTTTCATGGGTCTGTTTGTGGATGCCGTGCCTGACAAGCTGGTTTGTCTCTGTCACCCGCCCGGGATATCGACTGCCCCTGGTACTGTCAGCTTTGGCGGTTTTGATCAGCATTTAATGAACTTCAATCCTTAACGGTTGATTAGTCATCAGCTGCAGATCTTCCTGAGGTTGGAGATGATGGGGCCTGACAATGAAATTCCAGCGAACGACCAGCTGAAGGAATCATTGTGGAAAGAGGTGTGTCAACTGCTTCTTCAAATCCGCCACAATCTTCCCAATGAAGAAGACTTGCAGGACTACTGTGACAGGGTGATTTATGCCAGGTATGTAGTCTTCGCTGAATTCTGTGATCTTCTTCCACGTTGCTGACTGTCTGATCCTCTTCTTCTTCTTCGCCGTCGTCATCATCTTCGTCTTCGTCTTCGTCTTCATCTTCGTCTTCGTCTTCGTCTTCTTCTTCGTCTTCGTCTTCTTCTGCTGCTGCTCCTCATGCTGCTGCCCTTCCCCATCTTCCTGCTCCTCCTCCTGTGCGTGCTGCTGCTGCTGCTGCTGCTCCTAAATGCTGCTCCTGTTGCTCGTGCTGCTGATGTTACTCCTTGTGTTTTTCGCTCTGCCTCCTCGTTCAGCAACCTGATGTGCATATGCTTGTTAAATTGCCATGCATGTTTGTAGCCCATGTGAGGAGATGCTGATCTCTCGATGGAGGGTGGGGAGGGTGGGGAGGGGGGGCGGGGGGGCGCAGTTCCTGGATGTGTGTTTGCTGCGTAGAGAGTGGATGTCGTCGGCGTTGGCATGCTAGTCATGTCGCTGTTCGGTTTTGTAACATTTTCCTTGTATTAATTTGTCGTGCAGGTACGGAGCATCTCTGGGAGGAACTTTGGAGAAGATGTACTGGGAGATGGAGTTTAAGGTCAGCAATGATGCAGATGCTGAGGCGGAGGCCTTGGGAGGGAATGTAGGCGATGATGGTATGATGTCAGGGAACGACAAGCAACCAGGACCAGAGAGTTCTAGTAGGGCACGTCAAAGACGTGGGAGAAATAGACAAGGAGCGAAGTCGGGAAGTGAAGGGGACGTGAACTCTAGTTCGTGGGGTGATAGAAGAAGCCGGGGAAGGTCGTCCTCCCTGCTGAGGTCGCTGAAAGGTCGCTGCCGCTTGGAGAGAAGAGGGACAGCGAGAGCATTGGGGTGGAATGGGAAGAAGGGAGAGAATGCAGAGAGGGAGAGGAAAATGTCCCACTTTTATGTGGCTGATCAAGACAGGCTGCGTCGTGTCAAGACTGTCAAAAAAATCATGTCACGGGTGGGAGATAAAGGGAGAGAAAAGGGGAGACTGACGCGTGTCAACATGAGAAGGCGTCAGAATGGACATGCAGGCAGAGAGGGTCCACCACAGGAGGTCAGTTCCAGTGCGGATGTGGTTGCTGCAACACCTGGTCCGTCACGGAGTAGCAGGGAAGTCGTGAGGGGAACGCCGAGCCTAGAGACGGGAACAAGGAGACGGTTTACTCCCATTTGCATAGGGAGGAGGAGAAGTGGGTCGTGCAGCATAGGCAGTGGAAGAGCAAGGAGCTGGGGACGGTCTCGCGGAACACCAAGCGTGAGTGTTCGTGGCACACCTAGCACGGGCACTGGAGGGGTGGTATCGGGGGAGTGTGTGCAGCAACGGACCGGCTACTGTCGTCCTGGGATGGGTGTCGAATCACAATGCCGGGCTGAGCCAGAACTCTCTAGGGAGACAGCAGAAAGGAGGGCTGCGCTACTGGGTAACGGGAGGTCCGGGGGGCGGAGGGGCCTGCGGCAGAAGTTTCGAGATGTGACAATGCGACTGAAAACCCAGCTGGAGAGCAACTCGGTAGGAGCAGCAGACTCTGCCATGGTTGCTGGCACGTCCACGCCAGGAGCTGTTAATGGACACGCAGCTGAGCCCGTCGGAGGAAGCCTGAATCCAAATGCCGCTGTGACTAAGTCTTCTTCTGAGAAAAGAATGGCAGCGTCAATCATGTGGCCTGTTGGCATTCCTGGTGATGAGGAAGATGAAGAGGACGGAGACGACGAGGGTGTTGCAGTGACGAAAACTCCATGCAAAACCTTTGGACCGGGTGCAGGTAATCGTGGCAGTGATGGACGTAAAGTGGTGAACGTGGCCGTGATGAACGGCGATGGTGTTCGCGGGACAGGGACAGGTCAGCAGGCCGGGGGATTGGAACCGGGCCAGGGCAAGGTGCAGCCGTCCTGTTCTCAGAGGCCAGAAGAAACAAGTTTGCAGCATCGTGAAGAGGATGGGGGAGAGCGAGACACCTCCCTCCACAATGGCTCCACCGAAGTGGTAGGTGGAGTCCAAAACAGCAAGGACTTCGCACGTGATGCTTCAACAATGATGGAAGGAGAAGTAAGAAGACAAGACTCTGCTGAGCAAAAGAACCCGAATTCATTCATAGCTACTGCAGACGCTGGAGAAGATCGCTCAACTTGTTCCTCTCCTGCTGCTTTAGCAACGGAGTGTGGGATAAATTCTTCACCTGGGAAGGAGGTTCTTTTGAAATCACAGGTAAGCCACCACCACGCGTTCGCGAGAATAGAGGTGACAGGGAAAGGAGCTCCAGCAGCTCAGGGAAAACTATTGGAACATAGTACGAGGGAAGGAGGGGAGACAGGTGCAGGTAAGGCACAAGCAAACTACAACGACGGTAACGACACACTGGTTGGGAAGAAGAGAAAAAGAGGGAGACCAAGGACGAGCGGGCTTGCAGGCGCGGGGGCATGCGGTGCCAACGAGCACAGGAACCAGGATTGTCAAACGCTGGCCAATCAGGAATCACAGTTGGTTGGCATCGGAACCGAGGCGGAGAGCGCGAGGAACAAAGCAAAGCGAGGAAGGAAGAAGATGAGTAGCATCGCGGTTCAGGGTTCGAACTGCGGCCATCAGGGTGCGGCAGTGCAGACGGAAAACCCCGGATTGTCTTCGGCAGATGTCACCGTTGTGCCGGAAAAGCCAGATTCGCTGTGCAAGACTGACCAGGGCAAGAACTTTCACTCCACTCCTAATTTGGAGCCAAGGGAAGGGTTGAGATCTGCAGAGCGGGACGCAGCGTTGATCAATGCGGATGGTGCATCCGCAGAGGAGGACGCAGCGGTCGGTGTGACAGAAAACAAAGCTGTGAAGGGGATTGGGGCTGTCCATGGAAGGAAGTCGAAGGGCAGCACCCAGAGAAGTGTGTGTGGCACTGCTACTGCATGCAGAGAGGGAGAAGCAGCGACGAGACCGAAACGAAAAAGGAGGCGAAATTTGTAGCATCCTGAAAAAAGTGCGGGAGGGTTTGCGTTCTCGCCAACCTGTCATATCGTCTGTGCAATTGATATCTGTGGACATGCGCACAACTGGGCAGAAGAAGCTCCTTCGGACTCTATGACTGTTGCTGAACTGCAGCTGTCCATTTGCGTCAATGCTGTGAAGCACGGCCATCCATTTTGCCAACCCTGTGGATCACAGCTGTCCATTTGCGTCCCAGATCATGTTGCCTCATTGGGCAGCGAACGCAGCCCGTGGATCCTGTAGAATGGTTAGCGAATACAGCCCGGCACGTTGTAATTACCCGTCTTTTTTTTTTTTCTTTTTTTCTTTTTTTTTCAGTTTGTTCAATTTCTGCTTGTTTGTCGTTTCTCTCACAGCTGTCAGTAGTCTACCTTTCCGTACCGATTTTATTTATCTGTTCTGTGGAATAGCAAAGACGATGTTTGGAATTTGGCGACGATGAAAGGCCAATTCTTCATCACAGCGATTTTGTGCTGATATAACAGTGATAAGTTAGATTGCAGGGTAATCTTTGTAGCCAGCATTCTTGATTTGCTTAGAAATCTGCAGATAAGTATTGTAATATCTGACTTGCCGGTGGAATAGGAACCGGACTGATGCTCCCCAGAATGGATATGGAGCCAGGCCCATAAGGACCTGTTTTTCTTTATTAAAAAAAAAAAATAAAAAAAAAATAATAAAAAAAAAAAATCTGCAGACGAGTATTTTTTTCAGTTTGTAAAAATTCAGATTCAATCTAACATTCATCCTGTGTTGTACTGAGCACACTGGATGCAGTCGGTTTGCACTCGAGAGTCACATTTGGTGCTGGAGCGCGGGATTCTCACTAATCCACGACTTTTTTTTTCTTCACATAACTTGGAATCAAGCCACATTCGTTCGTGTTGTATTAGATATACTGGTATGTGGGGGCTTCAGTTCTTCCTCCCTTACCAAAGCATTTTTTTTTGGCTGATAACACATACTGCGAGTCTGTGACCAAATGCAGGGCGAGGTTTCAAGTTTTTCAGACTTCTTTTTGAGTCCGCGTGAAGTCGGCTGTAGAGAAAGCTTACCTCTTTCTTCCGTATCGTTGGCCGCGTGAAGTCGGCTGTAGAGAAAGCGTACTTCTTTCGTCCGTATCGTTGGCCAGCAAACAGCAGTCTAACGCCCCGGGAAGAGACTGGGCTGTGCCACGAAAGCTGCAAGGCCTCTCTGTGTACATCTGCGTTGTGTGGAGGCTTCTATGACTGGTTGTTTATAGAGAGTTTTCCACCTATTGTTCAGCTCCTGATTAGCTGTGAAAGCAAGACATCCGCCGGTGGGCCCGCTTCATAGCTTTCATTTTTCTGGGCTTAATCCTTCTTGAAATAGCAGTATCTGTTCCGATGAGGCCGGGAATGCACCCCATCTTTCAAGGGTCGGCCCACTGGACCGAAATGGCTGGTGGTGCCAGGCCAAGACAAGAGGAAAAGACACGCCTGCACCGGTGCTTTTTCATTGGCACACAGCAGAAATCCGTGTTGGGCAAAAAAGGCTCGGAGAAACTAGTGGTAGTTATCATTTCAGCAGCCCATTTGCCAGGAGACTGCACAAAAAGTCTTCCAGCCCGGTCCAGTGTCCAATAGGCCTTTCCCCGAATGACAAATTTGGTTCGCGGCTCCATGAATCATGGGAGTCTCAACAAGGGTACTCAACAAGGGTACTCAACAAGGGTACTGGCGGTCTTAAGGAATGACGCCCAATCAATAAGTAGACCAATCAAGATCGATTGCTTGCTTGCTTGCTTGCTTGCTTGCTTGCTTGATTAATGTGACTGAAAAATGAAAACACACCAAAAACGAAAGACACTCTGTGTGTGTGTGTGTGTTGTGTGTGTGTGTGTGTGTGTGTGTGTGTGAGAGAGAGAGAGAGAGGGAGAGAGAGAGAGAGAGGAGGGGGGCGGTGTTGGAGGAAGAGTTTAAGGGTACCCATTTGAGAGAGAGAGAGAGAGAGAGAGAGAGAGAGAGAGAGAGAGAGCTGTCTCTTATACACATCTAGATGTGTATAAGAG